ATGACCATGGTTGAACAAATGTAGTTTAAATATCTACTATATCACATATATATGCATAGAATGAAAGTGTTGATTTAATGACTTGCTCTCATCTGATGTTAGTATTCTCCAAGTCATGATTTATGGTGTTGGACGGTACGTTATAAATATAAATATGATCCCGAGTTTTCAAACACATCATACTTCCGCAAGATCGAGGCTTTTACATTTTTTCTTAAATTGAGTTTTGGTCACCGCGTAATTGAAGTTAACTGGATTTAACGGGGGAAAAAAAAAAGACAACAACCGTTAGTGAGAGGGATCAAAGACAGTGGATTCTGCATTCGTGAGGGACAAGTTTGAAATAAGTAAAGACTTGGGATAGTTTTGCTAAAAATGATATAGTTTAGGGACCAAACGCAAAATTTACTAATTTCTTTTGGTAGGAACGGTATACAATTAAAAGTATAGTTTATCTACATATTTTATATTTTTATAGAGTAAATTACATTTTTGGTCCTCGTGGTTTAGAAAATTGTTATTTCTGTCCTTGCATTTTTAAAATTATGWTTTCTATTATCGTTTACAATTTACTGTTGTTTTCATTCTCGTGAATTRAAAGTTATTGCTATTCTCATCTACGTGGTATACAGTTCTTTGACGTGTTCATCCCTCATACTTAAAGATAGAATTTATGGCTTGTTTATCAAACGTTTGTCGGGTAAATGCTTACCAGATGTCTTTTACCTTATTGTCAGTGAGCATGATAAAAACCACAATCTTACATGTCAAGAGACATAGTAAGAATCGAGAATTTTACCCGGTAAGTGAAAGATAAGACTTTTACCTGGTAAGTACTTATCGAGTAAGAAAGGCTTACCAACAATCTATTTTGATGACCGAGAATATATTCCCCCAAGTTAAATGAATGTGGTAACTCTTGTTGTTAAGCGCTTACCTGACAAGGATTTGGTAAATGACCCATTAGTCTCAATGACCCAAATAGCAATAAATTGCAAACCATAAGAACAAAAATTGCAATTTCAAAACCACAAAGATGAAGATCGCAACCTTTAACAAACCTGAAGAATGAAAAATATAATGTAGGGGCCCTTTATCAAACGTTTACCAAGTCATATTACATTACTGGATGAATATAGCAAGGACCAATAATTTTACTAGTAAGTGAGAACGATGACTCTTACCACGGTTAGTATTTCCCAGATAAATTGTTGCATACGATGTGTTTTGATGAACTAAAATCTTACCCGGTAAGTAAGTGATAGTATTGAATTTTACCCGTAAACACTTACCCGAATAAACATGTGGTGAACGCCCCTTACTACTGACTATTTTTCCAATTGAAGTATTAGACATTGTTTGACAAACATAAGTTAGCTTATAAGCTAACTTAATTTTTGAGTACATGTTTGGATGACACATAAGCTAGCTTATTATCATTTTTTTTTCAGTTATAAGACTCATTAATGTTAAATGTTATTTATTATTAT